CCGCAGTTCCCCCAGGTGCGCCCCCCAACCCAGGTCCGATGCATCTGTTACTAACATCAGAGTGGGTTGTGGGGCAGCGAAGGGGATCCCCTCGCAGATCTGCTGTTGATCGAGCCACCAGCGGAGCGAGCCCAACACCCGAGCTGGGATCGTCACCACCAGATCCAAGGGGTCTCTGTTGGGGAGGTACGTTTGGGTAAACCACAACTGCAAGGGTCTGAGCCTTAGGCAGGCATGTCTGACCACATGTGTGCAGGCTGCCATGTGTCCCAGGAGCTGCATGCAGCACCTTGCCGTTGTCGTGGGAAATTTCTGGACGAAGCTTACGGCCCCTTGAATTGCCAAGAACCGCGACTCTGGGAGACTTGCCCGCGCGGTCGCCGAGTCCAGGACTGCGCCTATGAAGTCCAGTCTCTGTGTGGGCGTTAACGTGGACTTGGGCACGTTGACCAGTAGGCCGAGCCTGCCGAACATCTGTAAGGCCAGCGTCACGTGAGAGCGGACCTCGGCCTCCGACCTGCCCGCGAGGAGCCAGTCGTCTAAGTACGGGAACACGCGCATCCTTCTTTTCCGAAGGAAGGCTGCTACCACGGACATGCATTTCATGAACACTCGCAGTGCCGAAGCTAGGCCAAAGGGCAGGACCGTAAATTGGAAATGGCGCTGGTTGACGGTGAACCGCAGGAACCGCCGGTGGGCCGGATTGATGGCGATGTGAAAATTCGCAACTTTCATATCGAGGGCAGCATACCAATCCCCCGGATCCAGGGATGGGATAATAGTTCCAAGGGAGACCATATGGAAACGCGTTCTGACCAGGAACTTGTTCAGTTCACGCAGGTCCAAAATGGGACGGAGGCCCCCTTTTGCCTTGGGAATTAGGAAGTACCTGGAGTAGAATCCTTTTCCCTTTAGGTCTGGTGGGACCTCTTCCACTGCTCCCACTGTGAGGAGGGTCTGCACCTCCTGCATGAGAAGTTGCTCGTGAGAGGGGTCCCTGAAGAGGGACGGGGAAGGGGAATGGGAGGGAGGGAGCGAGGACAACTGGAGGGTATAACCCGCCTTCACTGTGCACAGGACCCAGCGGTCCAATGTTATGCGTGACCATGCCCGGTAGAAATGGGACAGGCGGTCCTTGAAACTTAGAGGTGGATCCGGCATGGGATGTGGTACGCTGTCCTCGAGCGTAACTTCAAAAGCCTGGTTTATTCCCTGGCTGCGGCTTGACCTGGCCATGACCTTGGCCTTGGTTAGGCGTATTGTTACGTCTCCGCCTGTTATCCCTGCCACGATGGCGGTACGGTTCGTGCCGAGGGCGAGGGTGGTACTGCCTCTGTGGTGGTTGAGGCTTAAAGGGCTTGCGCTGTGTCACCGGGGTATGCATTCCTAACGACTTTAGGGTCGCTCGCGAGTCCTTGAGGCTATGTAGCCTGGCGTCCGTTTGGTCTGAGAACAAGCCTGACCCTTCAAATGGGAGGTCCTGCAGGGTGGTCTGCACCTCTGGCGGGAGGCCAGAAGCCTGTAACCATGCCGAACGCCTCATCACTACCCCTGACGCGACTGTCCTAGCCGCTGCATCAGCTGAGTCGAGGGAGGTCTGCGATGAAGTTTTGGCCACCGCCATCCCCTTGTCCACCAGGGCCGTGAACTCTGGATGTGAACCCAGAGGTAGGGATTCTTTGAACTTGGAGACCGATGCCCAAGAATTAAAATTGTGCCTATTTAGAATTGCCTGTTGATTAGCGATCTTCAGTTGGAGGCCCCCAGACGAATAGACTTTCCTCCCGAATAAGTCCAATCGTTTCGCCTCCTTGCCCTTGGGCGCAGGGGCTTGCTGGCCATGGCGCTCTCGTTCGTTGACCGCAGAGACTACCAGCGAACAAGGAAATGGGTGCAGAAAGAGGAAGTCAAACCCTCTAGATGGGGCGAAGTATTTTCTCTCCATGCCTCTTGCAGTTGGTGCACTGGAGGCCGGCGTTTGCCATACCGTCTTATAGTTAGACTGGACTGTCCGTATAATCGGGAGAGCGACTCTGGAGGGGCCCTCCGGGCTCAGGATGTCGACCATGGGGTCCTCCTGCTCTACAGTCTCCTCTGCTTGCAAGCCCAGGTTGAGGGCTACCCAGCGAAGCAGGTCCTGGTGCGCCCGATGATCAATCGGGGGAGGGCCAGACACTGTCGTGCCCGCCACTGCCTCATCTGGCGAGGAGGAAGAGGTCGGGGCCTTTTGCCCATCCTCACCTTCCTGCAACCCGTCATCGACTGGTTGTTCCTCTGGGGCCTGTCCCATGGTGTGGGACTGGGACGGTACCGTGCTCGGTGCCGAGTCCACTCCCTCCCGCTCCTGCAGTCTAGAGATCGTTGCCTCCTTGTGAGAGGGCGGACGGTACCGCGGAGAGCGGGATCAGTACCCTGATGGCCCAGATCTCGAGGCCCTAGATGGGGGCCCTTGTTGGTGGTAGGCCCAGGGTGTCCAGAATGGCCATTGGCTTGGTTGGCCCCATTGGGGATGACCACAGGCTTCATAGTCTCTACTAGCCTGTGCCCTGTGGGCATACCCGCCATACCGGCCCGAGTCAGTCTCCGACACCACGGATGGTGATCTGGAAGGCCACAGCGGAGCCGTGGAACGGTGCCGGTCCGGGTTTGGGGAGTAGTGTCTCCGCGACCAGGACCTGGAGCAGCGTCTCGGCGACCTGGACCTGGATCGGTACCGGTGACCACGGGACCGGGAACGACTATGGGTGGTCGGTCTCGGGGAACGTGTCGCCGACGCATCCCGGTGCCGACTCGCATATGGCTGCTGAGTCGGTGCCGACCGCTTACTGAGGCCCGATGGCTGTGGCGCTTTCTGCGCGGAGGGCAACCGGGAGTCCACCGAGGCGGAACTCGACCGGGACCGGTGCCTTGAACGGTGCCGGGATGACGACCGTGATGGGCGCACCATCGCCAGCTTGCCTCTGGGTGGCAGTCTCGGTGGAGCATCCTTAGTTTGTGGAGGGCCCTCAACGGACAATGCAATGAGGTCTTTTGCTGCCTCAAATGTGTCCGGAGTGGAGGGCTGTTCCAAGAGCTCCTCCAGCCCTTCTTCCTCACTCGACGCGCCTATCCCGGGGCTCAACGGGCCTTTCGGCGCCGGAGCCACTACCGGGGCCTGTGTTGGGGCCGTGCCGGCCTTAGGCGCACTCGAGGTCTTCGCTGGCGCTGCCCTCTTATGCGGGGAGCGTCCTCGGGCCTTGGGTTGGCCCTTCGATTTTGCCGGCGAGGACGACCGGTGTCGTACATGCCCCCGTTGGGTCGGTGCCGTGGGCTTCGGGTGACCCGCCGGCGCCGGTTCCCGCACCGATGCTGGGGCGCTCCGCACTGAGGCAGACGGTGCCGTCGAAGTGGAGGGCTGTAATGCCGTCTCCATGAGCAGCTGCTTGAGGCGAAAGTCTCTTTCTTTCTTAGTTCTGGGCTTGAAGGCCTTACAGATCTTGCAGCGCTCTTTCTGGTGAGTTTCCCCCAGGCAGCGGAGACACGAGTCGTGGGGGTCGCTCAATGGCATAGGCTTATGGCACGTGGCACAAGCCTTGAAGCCTTGGGCGTGCGGTATGCCGCACCGCCCAGGGCCGGTGCCGGGGTTGACCAAACAACCACAACAAGAACTTCAAGTACTTAATGAACTGTTAACTACTAAGCTTAACACTAACAACTAAAGAACTGATAACTGTTGTTCAGATAACACTAATGACTATGCTAAGGGACACTCTCAGACGAGAAACAGAGTTGTTCCAAAGCCGCCACAGACGGTAAGAAGGAACTGAAGGGGTCGGGTCTGCAGGGATATATATACCCTAGAGCGGGGCGCCGCTCTGGCGGGAGGGGGGGCCCTGCCGACCCGACGGGAGCCGCTAAGGGAAAAAGTTTCCGACGTCCGTGCACGCGGCGCGCGCACACCTAATGTGTAATGGACGTGAACAATCACTCGAAGAAGATAATGAGCTTAGTGAACCATAAGGAACAACTGAAATGGAGATCTTCTGATATAATACCCTCCATTTTCAAGCACCCAGAGCCTTCTAGCCTGTTCCAGTTTATTATGGTTGATCCACAGAGCAATCATCTACTAAATCAAGAATCTGAATTACAATGGGCAGTGGACAGTGGCTAACAGGTCCAGTGGGCCAGATCCTCCGCTGGTGTAAATAGGAACGTAGGATGTTAGTCTGTTACTCATTAAGGTCACACCGGACTCCTCATTGTTTTTGAGGATGTAGGACTGGAAAGGACTTCCAGTCCCCTTGTAAATTGGTGTAAATCATTTGAAGTCAGTGGAGTGACGCTGACTTATACCAGCTCAGGAAACTGCACGGTACCGTACTATATGTATAGTGTTTAATTTGAGGTCTCCTCTCATTTTACTGCTTATTAGCTATACTTCAACCTCAAAAAGTGAGAGTTTTGGGTCAGATCAGTATTCAAAAGTTTGGATCCAAAACCATCAAGTCTGGAGAATTTGACATGTTGTGTGATGTTGATTTCCAGTGTTTGCTGCTTCCTGTTGAGTCAGTATGCGAGTCAGGAGAAGAGCTTTATTGCAGTATTGCAACGTTTGCTCTTTCAGTTTGGGGTGGAAGTTGGAGAGGACACGGCTCAGGCAAAAATGAAAAAGAATGAATGGAACTGTTTTGAGTGTCAGAAAGAGTTCACCTTGGGTTTGGTGTGAATTCAAGGGCAATGGCTGAAGGAGGGTCAGATTTCATCCAGACTGGTTTACTCAACTACTATGCATCAGGTCTATGGTACAATGGGGTTACCAGACACATCTACCTACAACCAATGCTAACCATGGAGATGTCTCCAAATCAGCAGACTGAGGTTACCTAGTAGGAGCATTGCAGAAAGAAGCCAAAAACATGATTCTCCTGCCAAAGCTGGAGAGGACACTAAACAGGTATGGCAATGACCCTTCAAATAACCCTTAAAAATCCTTTGCTGGTTTCATTCACCAGATTCACCTTTTACCAGTTTCCAGCTGTAAATTTCCACCTCTTCAGAAGAGTCTTTCTCGATTGCAATTTTTCTCAGGTCTTCCTTTGGGCTCTCGGAGCTGGGTGGCACAAACATGTAGACCGATACCCTGTTCGGATTCTTGGCACATCTGGGGGTATTTATTTCATCCGTGGGCTTGACTTTGGCATCTAGGCACAAACAAAGTCAGCATTAGTTGTTTCGCAGCTATGTAGTCAATAAGAGTGGCACAGAGAATGTAGACCAGGCCTTTTATTTACGACTCAGAGCAAGTCCACACTGCAATCAGAGGTGTGATTACAGCTCAAGTAGACATACCTGAGCTAGCTTTGATCTAGTTAGCAGTGAAGAGGCAACACCACTGGCTTCAGTGTGGGCTGTTCACGCCCACCCAGAACCCTGAGCATGTCCTCACATTCCTAGTCCATGCCTGGATCCCTGCCTGTGTCTTCACTGCTAATTTTAGCCATGCTAGCTAGAGCAAAGCTAGCATGGATATGCCTACTCAAGCTCCAGTCACACCTCTGAGTGTAGTAGAATTGAGTCTGAAGGCACTATCTGAAAAGAAGGAGCACCGAATATTATGATGAGTTTTAAAAGGAGACCATTTAGTTTTCTGGAAGTGGATGGAGACCATGACCATATTGCTATTGAAGGCTGAGATAGGGACGTACCCTAGCATTAGCAATGGTGAAGGTAGATTTTTTTTAAGTTCTCTGTTATTTGCCATGTGGATTGTTAAAAACCGTTATTTTTCCGATTCACAGCCTCTGTGTTGTACACAGAAGGTGATAGGGATCGGGTAGCAGCAAACTGAAAACTTTCCCAAAACAAAACTGGGCACAATTCTCATCTCAGATCCTGTCAGTGGGTCTTAACTTAGAATCATAGAATGTCAGGGTTGGAAGGGACCTCAAGAGGTCATCTAGTCCAACCCCCTGCTCAAAGCAGGACCAATCCCCAACCAACCCCCTCAAGGACTGAACTCACAACCCTGGGTTTAGCAGGCCAATGCTCAAAACACTGAGCTATCCCTCCCCCCAAACTTGATTTGCTCTCTCTACCCAGGAGGGTCTCTTAGGGTATATCTAGGGAAGGGGGGTGGGACTTCAGAGCCCGAGCTATAACTTCCAAGCGCTGTCTACACAGCTTGTCTACCCTGCTAGCACAAGCCCCACCAGCCCAAGTCTGTCAACCCGAGCTGGGAGGCTTGCTCTAAAATGCTGTGTAGACCTACCCTCATTGACTTCAGCGTGGATAAAGTAGGGCTCAAACCAAACCCCTGGATCTGGACACTCTTCAATGTGGGGGATGATTTTCCAAACTTTGGGTCAGATCCACAGCTGCTGTAGATCTGCACAGCTCCACTGAAGTCAGCAAAGCTATGTCGGTCTACACTAGTCATTTGGAGGTGTATGTAACACACTGGCCGACCACGTGGGACTGATCAGTCCCCATCTGCTGGTCATCTGCTGGACCTCCCTGTGGGGGAAGGGAGAGGGGCACTGAGACTTTAGAAGACAAATGCTTTGTACAGTGTTATTAATGGGGTCACTCGTGCTTTTGGGGCATGGGCTCCAGGGAAACAAAGCAAATCTTCCTGTCCTGAGCAGTGAATGAGAGGAAGGTGTATATTAAAGTAGCTGTGGGCTACTCCCCTGGGCTTCTTACACTGGCTTTACACGAGTAATGCCATTGACTTTAGTGGGGTGACTCCTGATTTAAATAGTTGTATCTGAGAGGAGACTCCAGCCTGGGCATAGCCACTCTGAATTGGCACCTCCCAACACCCGCCTGGTAGGGGCTTTTCCGGCTGCACCCCTCTCCTCTGGCCCACTGACATGTCATTTTCACCAGTTCAGATTCACTGGGCCTGCTTGGGATCTCACTTTCCCCAGCCAATCAGGAATAGTTTCAATTAAACCAATGGGAGGGCCCCAAAGTAAAATCAGGGCTAGAGCTTTGGCTGGTGCGTCACAGTGTAGATCCAGGATCGGGCCCCAGGTATAAGTGTGATCAGAATCAGCCCCCTTTATATTCACTCACACCCACTTATTGAGGTGTCACCCACACTCCCTTACACGTCACCTCTGAATCGGGCCTGCCCTCTCAGTTGGGAGGGTGGTAGCTGGAGGGATATTTACAACCTTGGGCAATTTTTAACACTCCCAAGCGAACGTGCGCCGTCAATTTTTGGCTTCTGCAGTAATGAAGAATTCGCTTTCAGATTTGGAAGCCAGTTTGTTGCATTTGGTTGAGGTCCCTGGAACTCAGAGGAACTCCCTCCCACCGCTGAATTTCGCCTTGTTCTCTCGCCCTTTTGGCTGGTAAGCTTTTCACACTACTCCAGAGAAAGTCTGGTTATAAATAAACACAGGGAGTTTATTTTAGGAGTGAGAATATGGGGTCTGATTCTGCTCTCACACCAGTCCTGCACCGGTGTATCTCCCTCCTCTGCAATGGATTTACACTGATATAAATGACATCGGAATCCTGAGAGAGAGAGAAAAGCAGAGCGGTGTTTTGCAATGACCATAACATAAGCATTCAGCTAGCTGTCTGGATTTAGCATGATGCTAACAGGGGTGTACCCAGCCTGCCCTCCTGGCCTCACTGCCAACACCATTGCCAACACTGGCCTCCATAGTCCTAAAGCAGGCACACCCCCCATTAAAATCAGTGCATGTTTGACCAAGACGGTCCAATAGAGGAGGCATAGCACCACCATCTGTACTGCACTGATTCTAGTGATAGCAAACTACACCCCAGTTGCATCTTTCAGAGCTTTTGCCCAACAAGTAAGCAAGCCTTCCAACCACTCCTTTGTGGCACAGCAAGGTTTTACAAATGGGAGTGCCTATGGCACAGAATGTGACTTGCCCTCAGACAACACAATGAATCAGTGGCAGAGCTGGGACTAGAACCCACGAACCCTAGCTCCCAACCTCTCCTCACGGAAGTCAATACCAAAATCATGTGACATGGCTAACCAGTGACAAAGTGGGAGGGATGTGATAACAGCCTACGAGTAATGGAAGGGCCTAGGAGGAATTATTTAGGCTGCGGCAAAATATTTAAGTTGCAGTAAATGTACATTGGGAAAAAGCTCCTAGCAGTGAGATTCATAGATTTCAAGGTCAGAATGGACCACTGTGATCATCTAACCTGACTTCCTGTAGAACACAGCCCATACAACTTCACTCAGCAATTCCTGCCCCTTGATTCCAAGTAGACTTCTAAAGAAGTGGGAGAAGTTCCATTGCCTAAATTTCTAAAGCTAAATGAAGTACAGAGAGACATAACTTAGGAAACAGTCCTTCATTGGAAGGGGGGGGTGGATCAGGTGGCCTCACAGGTCTTTTCCATCTCTAATCCCTATGATTCAAGCCAAAAAGCTTTCACAAAAAGACCAGAATCCAATCAGGAGACACAAAAGTCCATGCGTTAATGTACGTAGTAAGGCCCTAATTTTGTTAACACATACATGTGCTTAGTCCACTGAAGTCACATGATTACTCTTGTTTGAAGTTCAGTCAGTGCATACGTAGGATTGGGGCATTAAAACTAGCCAAAGGAAAGGGAAGCCAGCAATAAATGAAGGCAAAACACCAGGAGAGAGCAGCGAATGCTGGGGAGGATAGTCTATCTGTTCTCCCACGTACCTGGACATATTTTACAACATTTCCCTTCTACTTTCTCAGGATATTCACAAGGATATTCCTTGGGACACGTAACCTTCTGGCAGTCCTGGATCCCATCCGTGCAGGTACACAGGATGCATGGTAGGACTCCATACAGTCGGAAGACGGGATGCCACACTTCTCCATGAGAGTAGGTCTTCCCATTGTAAACGCAAGCTGAAGAGAAAGAGAGAAGGGTAACAATAAATAATAATAATCGTATTGTACCTCTGTATGGTGCCTTTCGTCCTGATGGATCTCAAAGCACTTTGCAAAACTACCAAACTAACAGGCAAACTATGTCAAAGGGATTGCAACACCCACCACTGCAATGCAACCCCCTCTGGGGCACAACATGGCCGCAGCAATACTACAGAATACTTCAGGACAGAAGGTGAGTATGAAAATTATAGGGAAATGAAACTATAAGGGGGATTTAAGCAGCTGAATGTAGCTACAAGAGCTGGAACTTGGCCAGGACAGTAGGGCTAATAGCCCTACTCCTGCATAAATTGCATTGAGATCTTTAATGAGCATGTCAGGACTGTATCTGAAAAAAGAAGGCTGGGCTCCTTAGTAACATGCATCTGTTCAGCACTACTCCGAGGGAAGAGCGCCACCTACTGAATTGCAACACAAGTTGCTGTGGACTCTGACTTTTCCTTGGCGGTCTCCCCTCCAAGGGCCAGAATGTCCCCTCCTAGAGACAAATCCCCAGGAGGGAGCTGGAGGAGGAAAGCATCACCAAGTTACCCGAGTTTTCCCACACAGTTCCAGGAGGCTGCAGCGGTTGTCTCACACCCTCTCCTCACTGTCTAGTTTCCCCAGAGATTCTCTGGGAGACGGACGCCAGGCAGGGCTGTGCTGACAGGAATTAGCCCACTTCTGCCACTAACGCGAGGGGCAGCTCCACAGAAAAGTTACTACAGGTCCAGCCCAGGCTGTGTAAATGTTTCTGCAGGTTTTCCAGGGAGCCTGTGGAGGGACCTTGTGTTCCATACCTGCTCCTCCCCACTGCAAGGATCCCTGTCCCAGGAGGCCACAGAAGCTAACCCTTCCCGCAAACTCTCCTTTTGCCTGGGAAGAGGTAGTTCCCTGAATGGAGGATGCATCTGGGAGGCACCAGCTGACCACCAGTAATGAGCTGATCCCTTAGAGAGATGTGAGGGGCTCACTACTCCAAGCATGGCATTTAATCTGACTTGTCACAGGCAGACGTGACACCCCCCCCCCCCAGTCTGCTGTTTATATGGCTGCCAATTGACTGGATTCTGCTGCGCTCCAGAAGCCAGCTGAGAATCATAGAATAGACCTCAGGAGGTATCTAGTCCCACCCCCTGCTCAAAGCAGGACCAATCCCCAGACAGATTTTTGTCCCTAGATGGCCCCCTCAAGGATTGAACTCATAAACCCTGGGTTTAGCAGGCCAATGCTCAAACCGCTGAGCTATCCCTCCCCCCACATGCCCTCTTCCCGGGGAACATGCAGAAACCTCGCCCCCAGGAATGAACAGCCTGTCACCTTTCTTGTGCTTTTCTTTCAAGATGAATTTGACTGTAGTGCCACCTCCGCCTCCTTTTGGCTTGAAGCCCTTGGGAATGAACTCCAGCGAGGAACTGATCACAGTGGAAGCCGTCCCGCCAAGCAATCTCTTGCTCACCAGATCCCCCGAGCACTGGTCTTGAGAGTGTCTCTGTGAAAGGCCGGAAACAAGGATACTACTGTGTACCAGGCAGTTCGGCTGCTCTGTCTGCAGCACTTTATGGGAAATGCTAGCTCAAAGTCACGCACACATTTGCTGTGAGGGGGAAATGCTGAGCATCTAAAGAGGCAGCATGGTTTAGTGGATAGAGATCAGGGGACCTGGGTGCTATTCCTGGCTCTGCCACTGGGTGGCCTGGGGCAAATCATTTCGCTTCTCTGTGCCTCTGTTTCTCTTTCCGTCTTGTCTGTTTTGATTGCAGGCTCTCTGGCGCAGGGACTCTCTCTTACTATGTGTGTGCAGCGCCCACAACAATGAGGCCCCGATCTTCGGTGGGGCCTCTAAGTGCTACCGTAACACTCACAATAATGGTAGAGTTGAAATTTGCTACCCTTCCTCTATTCCTGCCACTCAATCCCACCCCCACAGGACATGCGTCAAGTCAAATACCATGTCTGACATCAGCAAAGCTACTCTTAGCTTCTGAACCTAGTCAATGGGTCATATTCTGTGTTTACCCGTTTACCCCGGGTACCGACACACACACACACACACACACACACACACACAGCCCCGAGGTCAATATAGGCCGCAGGCCAGCAGAAAAGTCAATGTTCTCTCAAGGCTGGTAATCCTGCACTGCATGGGAATACCTTGCTCCTGGCTTTGGGATTCCAGAGAAAAATGGGACAAGACACATAGCACAAAGGATCTCCTTGTGGCTATTTCTGGAGTTTTATAGATTGGAGAGGTGTGGTGCTGGCATTTTGGCCACGGGGCTTTGGAAAGAGTAAGGACAAGAAGCTGTAAGTGACCTAATCCCGCAAACCTGGAATTGGTCATCCAACTCGAAACGCCATCATGAATCAACCCAAAGGAGCCAAGAGCTCACTTTTTCCTCCCTAGTAGTGTGGATACAAAGACTAGCCAGCGAGGCAGTAGGAAAACATGCTCCCATCCAGCTCACGCTCTGACTGCCACGCTCTGGGAGGAATGGGCTACATTTGTACGAGGGAAAGGGGAGAACCCAGTATTCTGAGCAAAAGCAATTGCTATCACTGCACGGGAATTAGATTGTGTTTGCCCCTGGCTGTTTTCTGCAGCTAACCCTGGCGTCACTCCAATAGGGGCAGCACCAATGGGAGGCATTAATGTAGACAAGGCTCCGACTGCCTCTAGCATTTAAACCACCATATCATTTAAACCTGTTCTGAGCTATGGCGACTATGCCAGTGGCCAGCGGCGCTTTTTCTTTTTACATCAGCAGTAAAGTGGTTAAGACACTGAACTGGGAGTCAGGAGACCTGGCTTCTATTCCCAATCCTACCAGTAACCAAGTGTGCAACTACTGACACCTCTCTGCTCCCACGTTACATTGAAAGTATAACTGGGTTAAAAAAAGAATTTGGTAAGTTCCTGGAGGATGGGTCCATCTATAGCTGTTAGCCAAGCTGGTCAGGGACACAACCCCATGGTCTGGGTGTCCCTAAACCTTTGACAGCCAAAAGTTGGGAGTGGACGACAGAGGATGGATCACTCGATAATTGCCCTGCTCTGTTCATTCCCTCTAAAGCATTGGGCACTGGCCACTGTCAGAAGCCAGGATGCTGAGCTAGATGGACCATTGGCCTGGAGTGGTGAGCAGAGCTAAAACTGGGCCATCATCTCTATGCTCCTTTGCATTCAGAAAGGGCTTCCAGACATTTCTGAAGCGTGAAGGCCACTGTTTGTTCCAGGGTTGTATCCTGCTGCCCATCTCCACAGTATCCGAGCAACTTCCATGTAAAATAAATAGCATAATGGAGTCTCTAGCGGATTTCATGGAATCTCTGACACGTCTCCCTTTTTGGGATAAAGTCTCTGCCTGGGGTGAATTTTGTTGTTGTTATTGTTGGGGGTTTGGTTTGGGTGTTGGTAGAAGAACAGCTTAAAGGGCAAGTGTTGCAGAAACATGGATTTCCATGAATTGGCGATGTGGTCTATTTTAGAAGGGACACTTGGATTGTTAAAATGTAAACATCACGTACAACACCTCTGTTTAACTGCAGGGGCTCCTCGTCCATTGACTTCTCATAGGAACCGTCTGTAAAACACAACGTTACAACAGGAAACGCAGAAGGTTAAGATAGGAATTACTCTCAACAAACACCTGGCTTCTGGTGTAGGAGGCTCCCAAAAGGAGAATCACTACAGGAGGCCGCAGGGCACAGATACAATGTGAGCATCAATGGGATGGCATATTAGTTTCCACTAATGTCTCCATATATCCTGGTTTTATGGGGACAGTCCTTGTGTCACCACATCCCAGGCACTCCTGAAATGTCCTGGTTCTTTCATTTCATCAGTCCAAACTTTTGTTGCTGTTGTTTTTCTTTATAGCTACAAAAGTTGGTTCCAAACGTATTGCTATAGCGAGCATTCCACCACCTTAGAAAATGTTGCCCCTAAAGTGTCCCAGAGGTTTTTGATTGCAGCTCCCTCCCCACTGTACATCCCCTTCCTCCTGGCTAAGAAGGGACTATGTTCCCCTTAGCCCAATCCCCATAGCACTTGCCTCTCCCTTGGCCAGGGACGGGAAAGGTCCCGAAGCAGGAAGTGGCCAGGCTGTCTGGGGGTGGGAGCTGCATGGCAGGAGGGAGCTGGAGAGAGACCCCAGGAACTGTGGACAGAGCCACATATGGAACAGGCTGTGACTGCTGGTCATCACAGCTGGGTACAGGTCTGGGTGGGACTTATGGGGAAGCAGCAGCAGATGGGAGGGAGCCAGTGCAGAGGGGCCCCAGTGAGAGACACTAATAGAGCCTGGCTTGGAGACCCACAATGCGTATTTGCTTGAATAGAGACTGGATGGGAGAGGGCTCCCTGGGCAATAGGCCCGAAAAGCCCTGACCCTCACTCCATTGGACTGCCCCAGGGACCCAAACAGGAGCCATTATTGCTCCCTTTGAGCCGTAACTTTAAACCTCTGCACCTCAGGTATTTACAACCTTCTCCCTTCCAGTCCTATCTATCAGAAACCTTTCCCTTAGCCATGGGTCTGAGTGGTTATGGAGACCCCCAGGGCTAATGCCTACACAGCCTACCTGAAGCACCTACAGTGCTTGCCTCCAAGACACGGTACACTGGGCACGCTACTGGCATCTTAAAAGTTTGGGGTACAGAGTAGCCCTGATAATTACATATGAAAAGGGGACGGTGGCACTCTCTATCTAAAACCCTGCTTGTCTCACACCAGTTCTGGTGGCTGCTGGCAACACGTCTGCCAGTTTCAGCTCTCAGTTGTCTAACTCTGACTTCCGTGGAGTTACTCCAGATTTACCCTGGTGTAACAGAGCAAAATTGGGGCCTCCAGCTGTTTATTATTTCAGTAGAAGGCAACAGCGTGATATGAAACTGCTGGCCTGATTCCCTGCTCTGAATTTTACATATAAATACAGGGCTTGATTATCTTCCCATTCACCCTGGTGTCAATCTAGATGAATGACAGTAAAGTCACTAGAGCTACACCGGGGAGAATCAAGTGAGAGGAGAATCGAGCAGAAAATGCCATTGAGGTTCTTAATTACCTCAGGGTGTTTTTATCCCTTGAGAATGACTATGCCACTGCGGCATTTTCACCAGTTTATCAGAGCAATGACAATAATAGTCATAACCAGTCATACTTCCATCATCAAAGCAGCCTCTCCCCAGCCTGACAAATGAACTTCCGTGAGGCTGTCATGTCACTAACATAATATCACAGCGCCAGTAAAACAAGGAGTACGACTCAGGCCGTGACACCGATCCAACTTACACTCCACACAAGTACACAGCGGAGGGGCACTGCTGGAAGAGAGAAGAATTTGGCCCAAGAGGCTTTGTAGGCATCAGACTCTCTGACCATTGCTGGTGTCACGGAGGCAGAGATTTGTGCAATTTACAGCATGGATTTTCAAAGTCTTATTTAATAAGTGCGACATTCCCCCTCCTGGCTAACGGCCAGGGTTGCGATTCCCATCCACTGACCTGACAGCAGACCTCACTTAGCAGCAGGGACTGGTTCCCATGTTACCTTGGCAAACTTGGCAGCAGGAGTCTGGCACAGTTAGAGGAGAGGAGCACAGCAGATCAGGGCAGGTCACCAAGCCGCAGTAAATCTGGCCTTCCTAGGAAGCACAAAAAACAACCTGATGCATCATCGGCATTAACAATGTCCTGACAAGTACAGTGATACTTAGTGTTTAATAGCCAGGGGCCAAATTGTGCCATTGATTTTTAAGCAGATTTCTCTATTTGATTTCAGTGGGAAGTTCTTAAAAATGGGTGGATTGATAGGGCTCTCAATTTGCTATAGCAATAACAGCAGCTGTTGTATAATTAGCAATTACTCCATTCCAGCTTCAATCTATGTAGCCTAGTGGACTGGGACTCAGAAGACCAGCATTCTATTCCCAGCTCTGCCTCTGGACTGCTGGGTGACCTTGGGCAAATTGCTTCCCACTCTGTGCCTCAATTTCCCCATCTGTAAAATGGGGCTAATGAACCTAACCTTTGTAAAGCATTTTCAGATGTAGTGGTTAAAAGTGTTATAGAAGAGCTAGGTATCGCTGTCATAATGAAGCACCCTTCCCCAGCTTTGTTTCTAAGTGTACAGTCCTTGGGCCAGATCCTCAGCTGGTCATAGAATCATAGAATATCAGGGTTGGAAGGGACCTCAGGAGGTATCTAGTCCAACCCCCTGCTCAAAGCAGGACCAACCCCAACTAAATCATCCCAGCCAGGGCTTTGTCAAACCTGACCTTAAAAACCTCTAAGGAAGGAGATTCCACCACCTCCCTAGGTAACCCATTCCAGTGCTTCACCACCCTCCTAGTGAAAAAGTTTTTTTTAAAAGCCAAACTAAACCTCCCCCACTGTAACTTGAGCCGATTGCTCCTTGTTCTGTCATCTGCTACCACTGAGA